CGTGGACTCTCAGTCTGAATTATTTTACTCTGGCTCTGCTGGACTATCTTATCTCTGCTAAATACCATTTTTCAATATCTTACTATCACCCAACACAAATCTCTTCTGCTGCTGCTGCTGCTGCTGCTTATTTAAAATGTGTGCAGAGGTCATTTCGGGGGGGAACGCGGGGGATCGCAGTTCCCCCAGGTGAGGTATGGGGGGCGGGGCACATGACAAAGCCCCGCCCCCTGCTTCTGGCCACCCCGCTTCCGGCCCTCATTCAGCCAGGAGGAGGCAGGAGAAGAGGGAGGGTAAGTTGCTTCCTCCCTGCCTCTCCCCACCCCTGCCTGCCTGGGGCCATGGAGGGCCTTCGCGGGGCTTCCTTGCACTCCCACCGGCCTTGCAGGCCACCGCCGGGCCCCCACCCCTCATTTCCGGTGATGTCAGGGGGTGTGGCCTTATGACACACTTCTGGTGATGTCAGGGGGTGTGGCATATGCTAATGAGTTATGCTAATGAGTTCCCCTAGCTCTTTTTCTACGAAATGACCCCTGAATGTGTGTATATGGCAGTTAGAGTGACAGAGTAGGACTGGGGAGACCAGAGTTCAGGCATGAAGCAAGAGCCACATATGACAAACCTGAACTTCTTAAAGGAGGCTTGGGCTGAATGTGGGTGTGGGGTGGGACTGTGCATCACTGGTAGAGCATCTGCGTTGGGTGCAGAAGGCCCTGGCATCTCCAGCTAAAAGTATCAAGTAGGTGATGCAAAGGCAGCTTCACGGGTTCAATATGTAACATAAATGAAAGTCCAAGCCACCCCTTGCTCATTCTCTGTGCTGTGAAAGTTTGGATTTCCAAAGGTTTAAATTTTTAAGGCTGAGATGTGACATCTGAATGTTAGGATTCAAAATGTGACCGCTTTTGACTGAGTGAAGCAGTGAGAAAATGTATGAAATTGTACTGCCAAGCTTAAGAATATCCCTACTGGATCAGACCAGCTGCTGGATCAGACCAGCTGCTGGACCAGACCAGCTAATCCAGCATCCTGTCTCACACAGTGGCCAATCAGTTGCCCTGGAGGGCCAACAACAGGGCATAGATGCCAAGGCCTTCCCCCGATGTTGCCTCCTGGCTCTGGGATGTTAGAAGAGTGAAGGACTATCTGCTAGCTCCTGTCTCAGACTTCAGGAGGTCACCATAGATTTAGGCAGATAGACAGGTCAGGGCACACAGACCATTCTTTCCTTCCTGTTATCTGATCCTATCCCTTTGAAGTGGAATGCTGTTCTTAGGGATGAGTTTCCGTCCATCTGGCTTGACACCTCCCTCCCTCCCTCCCTCCCTCCCTCTCTCTCTCTCTCTCTCTCTCTCTCTCACACACACACACACACAAAGAAAAAACTTTGCCCTCCATCTTTGGAACAATGGATGCACGGCATGTTTTCTCTGCATCCACAACCATCGTAGTTAGATAGGTTACATTCTGTTCCTATCTCTCATTTATACTGTCTAGAATAGAGTTCCATATAATAAGTCTCTTATTAGTTTTGAATCTGACTACTGGCTTTCTGGAAGCTTGCTAGCACACTCAGCTTTGCTGCGTGGAAATGCCTAGTGCACCCTGCTGCATTAATAGTGATTCCTGGCTCTACTAAAACCAGAGAATCCAACATGGGATTCAGAGGTTTAGTGAATGTGGAGGTTCCCCTCAGTCACCATGGCTAGCAGCCACTGATAGACCTCTCCTCCATGCACCACCTTCTAATAACTCTCCGTGTAAAATCGTGTTTCCTTTTGTCCATCCTGAACCTACTGCCCATCAGCTTCATCGATTATCCTTGACTTGGAGAATTCTGGGGGACGGAGAAAAAGTCCCTCTCTATTTCTACTGTTTCTATCAAAATGGGCAGCTATGGTAGTCTGTAGCAGTAGAAAAGAGCAAGAATCCAGTAGCAGGGTATGAGTTTTCACGAGTCACTGCTGAAGAAGCGAACAATGACTCACAAAAGTTCATACCCTGCCACAAACGTTGTCAGTCTTTAAGGTGCTACTGGACTCTTATTATTTCTATGACAGTATGGTATGACAGCTGTCTGATACTGTCAAATGCTGGCTATGGTGTGCCAGATGCTGTCCAACTGACCACTGTTGCAAAACCTTCAGATGTCTTTGCAGGTATGATGCAGTCAGGAAATATTCAGGAAAAATATCTCATGATCCTGAACTTCTTGAGATGAGATGAAAAGTCTAATAGAAGTCTAATAAAGATGAAAGGTGAGATGAAAAGTCTAATAAACTGGCATTCAGGGATCCCTCTCTTCGAGGTTTGCATGAGCGACCTTTGACTTACTTCCTTTCATAGGCAGGGTTCAGTCTTCATTTGCATCATTAGATGCTCTGATATTGTTAAGAATAATCATATTCAGGGCACAACCCAGTCACACTTCAGGGGGGGGGGGAATCAGCTCTCCTATTGCAATAAATGGGATCTAAAAGTCATAAACTTTGGCTGGCTCATTCTCTTCTTTCTTAGCATACCAAGTGTGCCATATCTGCCATCAAGGACTGAACCAATGCTGTGTTGGCTCATATGTATTGTGGAGCTATGTCAGAGCTAGGGCTGCCAGCTCTGAGTCGGGGAATTCTGTGGGAGAGGTCTTGCCAAGGTGCCATAGAGTCCGCCCTTCAGAGCACCGGGGTGGGGGTGGGGATGGGGGCCTTGATCGTCTGGAGATCAATTGTAATAGCGGGAGATCTCTCCAGGTGCAACCTGGAAGTTGGCAACCCTACTTTCTGCCTTGCTGCCTCTGTTTTTCTCCAGCTGATGCCAGCTCTGGCTCCCTCTTCCCCTCCAAATCCCTCCTCTGGAACCACCTTTTCCGATTAACTCTTGGGCACAGCCCCTTCCCTTATCAAAACAATACTTGGCCTGGGCTCCTGTTCTCCCCTCCTCTTTCCACCTCCTTTCCTTCCCTGTTTCTTGTCTCAGACATGAGACTGGAAGCTCCTCGGGGCGGGGTGTGTGTGTGGGTGACTCTGTAAAGCGGCCTCGCATTATCAACAGCCCCCGCAGCAATGGCGAGGGATGCATTTTCTAGCTCAAGGCAGCGCAAGACCCTTCCTCTCTCGCCATCCCTCCCCAGACGCGCACACCTCGGAACAGAACAATTCCAACGCACATATGCAAATATTTCCTGGGCTGGTGAGCAAACTGCTGGCTGTTTTAGGAAAGGTTTCCTTTCTGTTTGCCAGAGGAGCCTTCGGGCTGCAGGAACCGGCCAGGGCGATAAGCCGTGTGTGGCCTTTGCTAATCTCTGACTGATAGAATTCACTCGGGTCGACAGGTTTCCCAGGCCGGAGAGGTTGGAAATTCAACAATCCTGGACACTTCTTGTTGATTGAGCTTAAACAAACTCGAGGGGAAGCGGAGGAGCCCCGCCACCTGCCCGGTGCTGAGCCCCGGAGGGCCTGCTCCGCACACGGTGACGCCCCCCCCCCTTTCCCAGACCAGGAGCAAACGTCCTTGGAAGGGGCTTTCATGGGACTCCGGGAAGGAGTGGGTTCATTGACTTGCAGGCAAAGGGGCATCCAGAAAGCCGGTCAGTATTTCAGACCCCACAACGATCAGGAGGCGTTTCTCAGTTCTTCCACTGTGTTTTTATCCCACTCTGCCTCGGAGGGGCTCAGGCCAGCTTACACGGTTCTTTCCTCTCCTCCATCTTGAACTCACAACAGCAGCTCTTCGAGGCAGGTTCGGCTCAGGGATGGTTTGTTGGGTATGATAACCCACCCTCAGCAGCGGGCTTCATGGCTTCATTTCGAGCCCCGGTCACCCCGTCTCCGCCTTACAGCACCACTGACTGCTATAAGATGTGAGCCGTAAACATTATTATTATTATTATTATTATTATTATTATTATTATTATTATTATTATTACCCAAGATGACGGGGCCCCGCCGCCGCCGCCATATCTGCCATCCGGGAAAACCTGGGGTTTGAACTGACGTGGCCGTGTGGTATCTGAAGAAGTGAGCAGTGACTCAGAGAAGCTCATTCCGTGCTACATATTTTGTTCGTCCTCAAGGTGCTACCTGGACTCTTGGCTCTTTTCTGCTGCTACAGACAGACTAACACGGCTACCCATCTTGATCTATGGCCGTGAACTAATACCTGATTAATACGTCTAACTTGCAGCTCCTCAACCCTAATCCTCAAGCGCTGTCTAGAGAGCGTAGTGCCTTGAAAACGAGCACAACATTTAACTCAAACAACGTATCTCGATCAATGCTCCCTCTACGCTGTGGAGTCTTGTGAGCAAAAATTCCACTTTGTGAGCTCCTGGCATTAAAGTTGTGAGCGAGCAATTTGGCTACTGCATAAATTAGTTTGCTCTGGAGCCCTCCTTCCTGAGCGAAGACAAAAATCTGAGAGCTGGAGGCTAAAAACGGTGAGCTAGCTCACACTAACAGCTTAGAGGGAACACTGATCTCGATAACTAGTGAGGCTCCCAGAGGTAGTGGGTCGGGTTGCAAAGAAAGAGTCAGGCACACCGGTCAAGAGTTCAGCTGTTCACGTTTTTTAAAGCACCAGGGCGCGATCCTGCAGCGAACAACCACGCCCTTCGACCGGAAGCTCCACCCGATGGACGCGGCTTATCCGCGAGGCCGTCGAAGCACTTTGCACCTGCTCAGGAAACGTTTCCCGCGCGGGTTCCCCGGGCTGAGCCGGGCCCGGGACGGGGGCGCGTTCGGGGGGGGGGGGGGTTTGGAGCCGCGAGCGCGGGGCAAGTCACACCTTGCGGGAGAAAACGAAAGGACACCGCGGGACCCGCAGGTGACCAAGAGTTTCTTCTTATTGGGACAGCGTCGCCCAATGGGGAGGCGAGGGCCACTCACGTGGGCGGGCGGAGGGCCAATCCGAGGGCTCCCCGGAGATGTCCTGGTCCTTGGCTCCATCGGCAAGTCCCGGGGAGGCGAGGTGGACCTGTCAAAGGCATCGCCCAGCCCGGCCGCGCCATGAACAGCGAGGGCCACTATTACGCCGCCAGCCCGCTCTACAAGGAGCCCTGCGCCTTCCAGCGCTCCCAGGCCCAGGATTACGGCCAGAGCCCGCCCGCCTGCCTCTACATGGGGCGCCAGCCGCCGCCGGAGCCGCCTTACCCCGCCGCCTTGGCGGGCCTGGAGCAGGGCAGCCCGCCAGACATTTCCCCCTACGAGGTGCCCCCCATCACGGAAGACCCCGGCGGCCTCTCCCATCTCCATCACCACCAGCACCCCCACCAGCACCACCCGCAGCTGCCTCACCCGCACCAAGAAGCCCTCGCCGCCTTCGGGGAGGGGATGGAGTCGGGCGCCCTGGAGGAACCCAGAGTCCAGCTGCCTTTCCCCTGGATGAAATCCACCAAGTCCCACGCCTGGAAGGGCCACTGGGTTGGCACGGGTAAGACGCCTGCCTTCTCTCCCCAACCCACCCACCCCACTTTCCCTGCTTGGTCCCCGCTGAACAACTCCGCTTCTCGCCAGGCTCTGCTTTCGGGTGGCCCACGCTGGGCGCTGGAGTGCTGCCAAGGGGGCTCCCAAGTGCTCTGGTGGCAACTGATCGTAAAGGAGCCCCCCGCCCCAAAATCAAGCCTAGTCCCATTGAAATGCGTGCCCCGCGGAGAGCAGTCAGTCCGACGGAGATGTGCTTCTTGCAAGGGCTCTCAGGAGCGGCGGGCTAAGGCCGCGGTCGCATACACGAAATAATCCACTTTCAATCCACTTTCAGTGCACTTTCCAACTGGATTTTACTGTGTGAACGGGCAAAATCCAGTTGGAAAGTACTTTGAAAGTGGATTTTTTTAGTGTGTGTGACCAATGCTCCCTCTAAACTGTGAAGTCTTGTGGGCAAAAGTTCTACTTTGTGAGCTACTGGCTTTACAGCTGTGAGCGAGTGATTTGGCTACTGCATGAATTAGTCTGCTCTGGAGCCATCCTTCCTGAGCGGAGACAAAAATGTATGAGCTTGGAGGCTAAAAAAACTGAGCTTAGCTCACACTAACTCAGCTTAGAGGGAGCATTGCCGTGTGGCCGGAGCCTTAGTCTGGTGTAGACAGTCTCCCTTCGGGACGTGGAAGCCAGTAACAGTCAGGGCCACTTTACTGACAACAGACACCCCCTCCGTGGGAGAGAGAAAGCATTCTCGTCCGGTGCACAACACAGTTCAGGAGAAAACAAAATGCAACAGGTAACAACTGGAATGGCCATTGGAACACATCCGCGCTCCCTGAGCTCTTTTGCCTGTGCCGCGAGCCGCACAGACAACCTGAAGCACTTGATGGGGTAGCTGGGAAGCGACTGGGCAGGGGAAGGGGGGGGATATAACCTGACTCATTGTTGTTGTTGTTGTTGTTGTTGTTGTTGTTATTATTATTATTATTATTATTTTGTAATGTCTTGTGACAAGGAAATAAAATAAATTGGAACGGAACTTGGAGGAGGAAACCGAGGGCCGTAAATGAATCCCCCACATGTAGTAGTGGTATCAGCACTTCCTACCGGGTAGACGGAGGCCTTCTACGAAAATAAAAGTGTACAAAAGGTGCATTATTAATTAGACAAATGGTATTATCCTAATAATGGCCATATTATCAATAATAATTTTATGTAGCGCCATCAACGGACTTGGAAGTGTAACGGACACACTAGCGTGTTAAAATTCGGCTAAGCAAACAGGCCTGTCTTTACTGAATGTGTGTCCCCACCTTTCCCGAGGGGTGCCTCCCATTCTCCTCCCCTCCGTCTTGTCCATCTTTATTCGCTGGCCCGGGGAAGCGAGGACTGGACAGAGGCCCAGGCCTGCTTTGCTGCTTTTCCCCCCTACCGGGCAGAAGGCGAGAACGAGATTCCCCAAAGGTCGCCACTTCTGACCAGATGGCAGCAGCCAGCCAATCGAGCTCGGGTCACTTCACTTCACAAAGGAGTCGGTGTTCCAGAGCGGTCCTTACAACGGGAGAATTTACCTGCTCACCGCCAAATCCGTGGGTGTGTGGCCTCCCCAGATTTGTAGGGCGCATCTGGGGGCAGAGGTTCCCCCCCCGTTCTAGATCAAGCCCTTCCTGTTTCTCCGAGGTTCGCTATAGGGGGCGATTTCCCCGAAGCAGTAAAGAGGATTCGAGTTTATAACGATTCTGTCGGGGTGGAGGAGAACCGAGCCGCCTTCTGGGGCTGTCTTTGGCAACCTTCGTGAAGAACAGAATCCCTGCTGGCCCCCCGTCCTTTAGCATCTGGCCATTTTGAGACATGCCTCGGCCTATTGCCTTTCCCACGAAAGGAAACCGCTTTGGCCATCTGTAATGCAGCAATTTATTTTAAAAGGTTTCACTAAGGTCGTCTGGCGGGGCGCGGGGGGAGGACCCTCCTCCTCCTCCTCAGGAAACGCTGACGGGACGGGGGGGGGCGCGGCGCGCAGGCCTTCCTTCTCTCGCTGGCGCCCTTTCGGTTGTAACTGGATCTGAACCAGCGATTGCCGCTCACTCCCTGCCCCTCGCTGCGTCCTTATGCTGAAATGGAGGCGGGCGAGAAGAGAAGAGAAGAGGGCTCTTTCCCCACCGAGCTTCGAAGGCGGGCGAGGGAGATCGGCCCACAAAACAGTCGCCTTCTTGGCTCTGGGTTGCAACGAAGCGGCGACTCGAAGGAGCAGCCCGGAGTTCTCCCTGGCAGGAGCCCCTTCCCGCCCCCAGGTGCACCCAAGGGAGTCCGGCGGGGTTGGCGTTTGCTTCGCCTCGCTCAGGACTGGCCTCCGGCTTGGAGAGAAGGGCTGCCTGACTCTCGCGAAAGCCCCGCTCCTACTCACAGCAGCAGCAGACACCGAGCAGGCAAATCCTGTGGGACTTACTGTTGCTTCCATTTGCTTGGGGTCGGGCGGTTATTTATTTGGAAATAATAATGCTGCTTTTCTCACACTGAGCTGAGCGGGACTAAAACGAATACCGTGTTGACGCGAAAGAAAATATGATCCTGACTGTAAGACGGCCCCCTTAAAATGTTACGCACACGCTAAGCGTATTATTAAACACATCTGTAGCTCGTATGCGAGTCCAAGACGACCCCCTCTTCTTTTATGCCACGGGGAGGAGGGGGGACACCTTGCCTTGCATTTGAATCAGTGCTGTACTTCTCTGTCCCTGTGGGCCTGTCCGTGCTGTTGGAACAGAGGAGAAGGACAGCCGGATCCTAGGCCTGTTTTTCGGAATTAAATCCCGTTGACTTCAGGAGGACTTACACACTTGAGCGGGGTTTTCTGCCTTAACCGGCTTAACTCACGCTGCCAGCGGGCTTTGGCTCCCCGTTCCCCCGGCTGAAGGCGCGCAGCACTCGGCAGGCCGCCCAATGACGCTTCGGGGCGCTGGGGGGGGATCCTAAGGGCGCCCTTAACCGACCCGGGGGGGCTTCAAGCTCGCCCTTGCTTGGGAATAAGCCCGCGTGAACCCAGAGGAGCTGATCCTCGGCGCCCTTTGGGTCGGTTTTTCTTTCTCAGAAATAACTCCACAAGATCCGTTCAAGTGCGAGTAGCAGTGGGGGTGCTTAGGCTCCACATTGGCTGCGGTCACACACGCACGAAAACAATCCCCTTTCAACACACTTGCAATGCACTCTCCAACTGGATTTCGCCAGTTCACACTGTAAAAATCCAGTTGGGAAGTGCACTGAAAGTGGATTGAAGGGGGATTATTTAGGGGCCTGTGGGTCAGTTCGGGCCCCGTCTGGGTTCCGGGGGGGGGGGGGGGGGGACTGGTTGATGCCCCTGGAGATCGCGACCATTATTCCTCCAGACAGGCGGCCTTGCCGGGCTTTCCGCACTGTGATCTGCGGCCCTGGAAACAGGCGGTACAGAGACAGCGCACGACACGCCGTGGCGACCCCTTGGATTTTCCCCCCCGCCCGTTTAAAATGATGTTTGTGTCGTGATTTGCAGGGCCCGGGCGAGCTCCATCTCCTTCGATCCCGGAGGTTAAGCAGGGCCGGTATCCGACTGGGAGACCGCCGAGGAAGTCCAGGGCTGCAAGGGAGGCAGGCCAGCGACCCCCACCCCGTCTGCACGTCTCGCCCTTGGGGGGGGGGTCCTCCCTCCGGGGTCGCTCTAACCCGGGGTGCGCGCTCTCTGCCCCAGAAGGGGTTTCGGCTCCGGGGCGCGGGAAGGAGGGCGCTGGCTGCTGGGAGGGAGGGGCGAGGGGGGGGGGGCTTCACGCACCGGTCTCGATGGAGCAGCCAGCTCTGCCACCGCCGGCTGGGAGTCACAGGCCGACGTGGGGACTCCTATTCGCGTGTGCGGAGAACCCTCGGCTCTTCCGCGTGCTCGGGCAACCTGTCCTGAAGCTCACCTTGGGAGCTTCACGCACCGGCCTCGATGCAGCAGCCACTTCTGCCACCGCCGGCTGGGAGTCACGGGCCGACAGGGCGGCGGGGGGATTCCTATTCGCGTGTGCGGAGATTGAGAGGGCAGAGAGCGCTCGGCCCCTTGAGAGGCCAGGCCTCGTTCTGGCGGAAGCCCCGAGTCCCTTCCCTCGGGAGGAGAAGGAAGGCCCGATGGGATTCGGCGGGGCTTCGTGCCGAGTCAACAAGGGAGGACGAGGCTCGGCCTTCTTTCCCTCGGGTGCCCGGTAGTCGCTCCAGGCCTGCCGCCGCTCAGGCCTCCGGAGGGAAGGAGGCTCGCGAAGGCCTCGCCCGTCCGAATCCCGCGGGGGGATCCAGGGCGCTCTCCGGGGAGGGCCGCGGGGGGACCCGCCTGTTTGTCTCCGGCCGGACAGTGTTATCGGGACGCCTTTCTGCAAACAGGGCCTTTGCGGGCTTTACTCAGAGAGACAGCA